TCACCTAGTTTCTGGATTTCTCTCAGAGGGAATTGATCCATGTGAAGCTGTATATTCAGTGCATCCTTGGGAGCAAGATGAGTCAGGAGCCTCTTATCCTGCCATTTTTCTGACTTCATGCCCCCATATATATTTATTTTTCATTGGATTAACCTTGCCAATTTTCTTTGGCTCATTTCTTTTCTTGCTTTTGTGGTTTTCCTTTAAAATGTGTTATACTTTGTTCTGGCAGGCAGTTAAGTTACTTATGAATCACATTGACAATTTCAGGCTGGCTTTTAATGTTTTTAGGATGAATGTTAACGTAGCCCTTACTCTAAGGCCAGTTTCTTCTTAACAGTTCCTTCTAACCAATAGGATGTGGCCAAGTTGATGGATGTAACTCTGTTGAATACTTTATGTTATATGCCAAAGGTTGAATTTCACTCCCGTCATTGTTAATATCGTATAAAACTCTACTTTGCCAACAGACATTCTCTCACCCTCCAGATGATCTTGTAAAAGCCATATTGTGTGCTGTCCATAGCGGCAGCCAAGAGGCAGATAACTGGAAGTGGCCTCTGGTTGATGACTGGGGCCTCTTGCCAATAGCAAAAATCTAAAGCTCTCAGTCCTATAGCTGCAAGAAAATGACTTATACCAACAACCTGACTGAACTTGCAAATAGAAATAGATTCTTCTCCAACTGAGCCTTCAGATGAGAATACAGTCCAGCTGACTTGTTGATTACAGCTTGATGGGACCTTGCAGCAGAGAACACAGCTGTGTCACACATGGACTCCTGACCCATGCAAACTATAAGATCATACATGTATGTTGTTTTAAGCTTCTGTGTTTGTGATAATTTGGTATGCAGCAACAGAAAACTAATACACCCAGCCTCATGAAATTCTACTCTATGTATGTGTTCTGTGTATGATTTTATTCATTAATAGAGTCAAGGGAATCCCTCCTCTTTAGTATAGTCTAGAAAGTTCGTTGAGACTGAAAGCCAGGGGACTTGTAGTGCCCACCTCAGTTTCATCCCTTCTCTCTGTGATCACAACGTTGTACTGCCTATTTTCTAGTGTATAAAGCATGTGTTTCATTCATTGTGTTTAGTTTTCTAGTTATTTGCAGCTGAAGAGCACATTCAGTGCTGGCTTTTCTAATATGGCAGGAATGGAATTGTTGTCACTGATTGTCACTGCTTCTTGCGTGCTGTCCTTCGTTTTCAGTTCACTTTTCTTCTTGCTGAAGTTCATCTTACAGTGATTCATTCATAGCATAGCCATAGGTGGTAAACTCACTGCGTTACTACATGAAGAAAAGTATCTTTTGTTTGGATGAGTTTGTTAAAGATCATTTACAATTCTAGAATTCTTTTCTGTCACTTTGGTGCGTCCTTGGCAGAAGTTGCTTACATGACCAATAGTGAGAAATCTGACTCCCATCGTCCATCACCAAGCTATTTATTTGTTCTAAATCGCAGTCTAGATGGACAGCGGTTTCAGAATTTTTTAACCCATACACTAGTGGGAATAGACTTTACCAACTAGACTAGTGCCATGTGGACTTCATTTGCCTTTATAAAGTCTTACAGATCTCCACTTATTTCTAAAATTACTTAGGTCAGAACATTTTGTCCCCTACTCTTTTCAGTGATGTAATGTCATACTTTTGTAATAAAGTTGGATTCTTTTGTCATCATCTGCCCTTCACTTGGGATCCCCTGACCTTCTGAATGATTTTTTTAAATTTGCGTACATTAAAGTTCACTGTTGGTTCTGTATAGTTCTATGAGTATTGCCAAATGCATAATGTCCTGTATTCAGCATTACAGAATTATACAGAAGAGTTTCTCTTCCCTAACATATCCCCTGGGCTTCATTTATACTACCCTCCCTCTGTGTAGCCCATGGAAACTGATCTCTTGCTTAGTCTCTATAGTGTTGCCTTTTCTCAAATGTCATATAGTTGAAATCATACAGAATATAGCCTTTGTAGACTGGCTTCTTTTATTTAGCAATATGCTAAAATTTATCCAGGTTGGTTTCATGTTTTGATAATTCATGCCTTTCATTGCTGAATAGTATTCTCTTGTATAGATGTATCAAAGTTTGTTTATCCATTTCCCTGTTGAAGGACATCTTGGTGGTTTCCAGTTTATGGCAATTATGAATAAAGCTGCTGTTAACATTATTGTACAGGTTTTTGTAGACATAACTTTTCAAATCAGTCGGATAAATGCCTAGGAAAATGATTGCTGAATTGTATGTTAAGATTACATAGATTTGCTAGTTTTCTATGAAACTCGAAAATTGTCTTCCAAGGTGGTTGTACATTTTGCATTTCCACCAGCAATGAATGAGAGTTTCTGTTGCTCCACATCCTCATCAGCATTTGGTATTATGAGGTTACTCAATTTTAGCCCTTCCAATAGTTATACAGTATTATCTTATTGAGGTTTGAATTTGTGTTTCCCTAATGACAAATAATGTTGAACATATTTTCATGTGTTTATTTTCCATTTGTATATCTTTTTTGGTAAGATGCCTGTTTAGATCTTTTGCCCTTTTCCAACTGGGTTGTCTATTTCATTCTTCTTGTGTTTTACAAGTTCTTTGTATACTCTGGGTACAAGTCTTTTATCAGATATGTGACTTACAAAGATTTTTTTCCAGTCTATAGTTTGTTTTTTCCATTGTCTTAACATTGTCTTTCTTAGAACAAAAGATTTTTAATTAAGTGAAGTCCAATTTGTTATTACTTTTCATTCATGGGTTGTATTTTTCTGTCATATACAAAAAGTTATCACCAACACTAAGTTCACATAGGTTTCCTCTGATGTTTCATTCTAGATGTTTTATACTATTGCATTTTACATTTAGGTCTATGATCCTTTTTCAGTTAATGTTTGTGTAAGGTGTGAGGTGTGTTTTGAGTTTCATCATTTTGCATGTGGGCATCCAACTTTCCCAGCACCATCAGTTGAAGTGACTGTCATTTTTCCTTTGAATAACCTTTGCATCTTCTTAAAAAATCAGTTGATTATATTTTTTGTGAGTCTATTTCTGAGCTCTCTTTTCTGTTTCATTGGTCAATGTGTCTATTTTGTTTGTTTGCCAATACCATGCTGTCTTGTTTATGGTAGCTGTATGGAAAATCTTGACATTGGGTAATGTGATTACTTCAATTTTATTTTTCCTTAGAATTCTGATAACTCACTATACTGGGTCCTTCACTTTTTGTTAATTCTTTGTTTTTAATTTTCTCCATGACCCATGGTGAGCACGTGAAATGAGAATACTGAAATCTCCATTTCCAGGCAATTTTGAAGTAAATTTCTTAACTATTGCTCTCTCTTTGTTATCTTTATTTTTGCTTACTTAAATTCTTTTTAGCTGCTGTTGGAAGTTTTGGAAATAGCTTCTCTGTCTCTTATTTGTTCTTGCAGATCTTCCACTGTTAAAATCATTTTGTGTTTAATTCTCAGAACCTATCTTAGCTTTGACGTTCAACCTCACCAATCCATGCTTCAGATATATCCAATCTCTTGTTCAGGATAGGGATTTACTTAAAAATTGACAATTGCATTTTCATTTATATGATCTATAATTGGTTAATTTCATAACAGTGTGTTCTTCCATCGATGATCCCTGTCTGCTCTTCACTTGTTAGCAGTGTAATATAGTGGCAAAGCACATGGCCCTTCTGCGAAGCTCTGATACCCATTACATGTGTTATCTTGGGAGAGTCACTTAATCTCTTTGTCTCAAAATAAAAATTATGATTGTCGTGAGGGTAAAAATGTTTTTAAAAGAACATTGAAAGCACTTAAGATAGTGCTAGGCATGTGACAAGCACTCACTGAGTGTTAGAAATGTTTAGAAATAGTGTTCCATTACCTCTAATCTCTGCTCCTTGGGTGTAATACCCACTCTTACTTCTTTAAGGCTATTGAATGTCCTTATTTTCAGGTCCTGTCTTTCATTTTACTGTTTTCTCAGGAGTAATTCATTTCGTTTGTTGAATTTGTTGTCTTTCCTTCTTGGCGTTGACGTTCCTCAAAGGTGAAACTGTTTTTAGTGTGCACTTGGCATTGCAGTTGAGATTCTGTCAGACTTTCTTCTTCCTCGTTTGCATCCAGTCCGAGAGAATGCACTGGATCTGCTGTGGACATAACAGTCGTTTTAGGGGAATGGCAGGGATAAGGTTTGCCTCCGTTCTGGGTTATTAGGCATCTGATCTTCTGAGAGCGCATTCGCTGTAGTTCTTGGCTGTTTCCAGTCATAAGCGGCACTGCCCTCTCCCAAACGCACAGACTCTGTTCCAGCTTAAAATCCGAGATCTTTCTTGAAACTGGGTTGTCTTGAAAAGAAGATATGCATTTCCTAGGAGAGGTGCCCGTCTGCCTTTGTGGAGATAGTGCAGTGACTCACTCTGTGAACATCCCCAGAGGCCCCTCCTGTTCCTGGAGCGCTGCTGGAGCTCAGTGCTGCTGGATTAGAGGTCTTCTTCCTGGAGCTGCACATTCCTTGCTGGCTTCCGTCTCTCAGGTCTTTTTTCCTCACACTTTTATATGTTGAGGATTGCTAAGTGGCTCTGGGTGTCCATGGTGGAATGCATATATGTATTTATAAATGTGCTATTGTTTCATTATATTTGGTGTACAATGTAAGCTCACAACTGTGTCTCATTCATCTTGACTAGAAAATGTGTATGTTTTTCTAAATAAAGAAAACTAATATATAGTATTAATAATGCTAAAATTATATTTTTTCAAAAGGTAGTCTTCATTTCTTTCCCCAAAAGCCATTAATACACATTAAATTCATTATCATAATCTTGAATTTATTAGAATAATAAATTATTACTATTTAGGAAAATAGAAAAATAAATTCTGAAGAATATATTAATTTTTAAGTGGATCGAGTGAGTTTTCTTGACATGGGTGAAAAATCCTGTCTTACTTTATACATTTCTGATTTACTAAATCATCTTTATTTGCTTTATTTTAGGTGATTTATATCATTACAATTGATGAAAAACCGTGTACTCTGCATCTCAGAAAACAGTAAGATATGATTTTCTCTTAGAGCTTAGATTTTACTTTTTAAATATTTTTGTATGCTATTTAAATTCAGGATAGCAGTATAATGTATATTGTTTAATCAGCCCATTTTTCAATTTAGAATTCAGTAGATCTTGAATGTTAGAGCTATAACAATGTTGCATTATAATTTTCCAACTTGTTATTTTCAAATTAAGAAATAAGCTACATATTTGTAAATCTTCAATTGGGTATAAAGCCATTGAACCCAAGAACTGCAAGTTATATATTAAGCATGTCTCAGGTGAAATCAAACATAGTTACACATCAAGTGGTTATTGGTGGGAAGCTTAACTAGTGGCATACATTTTATGAATGTATTAATTATATATAAATTTATTTTTAAAAATTTTATTGGGCACATTTTATATATTATAAAAGTCACTCAAGTATATAATTTAATAATTTTAATAACTTTATGCAGTGTGGCAACCATCAACCATAAATCAGTTTTAGAACTTTCATTCCCCACGTAAGATCCCTCATGCCATTTCACATTTAATCCCTGTTTCCACTCACTACTCCAGACAACAATCAGTCTACTTTCTGTCTCCTAGTTTGCATTTTCTCAACATTTCGTATAAATGAAATCAAACAGCCTCTCCTCTGATTGCATCTTTGAAAGCATATATTTATAACACCTGCATTTTGTCTGCCTGCATCTTTGCAGTTGAACAAGGCTGGAGAAAATTATCCTCGCTTAATTCATGACTGTTCTCACCTAGTTCATGACAATGAAACCCATGTTGGTCTTTAATGTCTCTCCAACTTCATTAAAAAGTTTTTTGATAAGACCGTCACTGATCTTCATGTTCCTAAATGCCAGTTATTTTTCAGTCTTCATTTTTCTTGACCAATTGGCAGCATCTTGTATAGCTGATTGGTGTCTCCTCCATAAATACTTTCTTCATTTGGCTTCCAGAATAACATAGACTCCTGGTTTGACTCTCACCGTTGTGCTTACTCTTGCCCAGTTTTTTGTTGTTTTTGTTTGTTTTTTGGATTCTTCCTCATCTCTCCAATCTTAGAGTACTGCATGGTGTTCTTCTTGAATCTTGTTTTTTCCTAGTTATATTCAATCACCTGGTTATTTCATCCAGTCTTGTGGCTTTAAATACCATTTATATTGATTACTTCCAAACTTACATCTCTACTTTATTTTTTCCCAAAGAACACCATATTCCTTTTTCTGACTGCTTATTTGATAACCAATTGTTTACCTGAATTCTGACACTTAACATGTCAAAAATGTACTTATGATCCTCTTCCAAAAATTATCCTCCCACAATCATCTCAGTAAATGGTAACTCTATTCTTCCAGTTTCTCATAACAAAACCTGGAGTCATCCTTGACATCTTTCTTTTGTTTTCCCCCATATCCAATGGATTATTAAGTCCCATGTTTTCCACCTCGAAAATACATCCAGAATTGGTCCTCCACCACTGCTCCTATCCTAGTTCAAGCCACCATCCTGTCTTGCCTGAATGACTGCAACAGCCTAACTGCACTCTCTGCTTCTGCTTATTTGCACTATGAATGCTTCTCAACATAGCATTCAGTCTGATTCTATTAAAATGTTGGTCTGATTCTATCACTTATCTGCTCAAAAACTTCCAATGACTTCTTACTTCTGTGACAGCATCTCTTACTACTGTCTCTCATCCTCAGTCCCATTCCACTTCAGACACATTGCCCCCTAGCTATTCTTTATATACACAAAGCATAGTTCTCCCTCAGGGTCTTTGCATTTTCTCCTAACTCTTTCTGAAATAACATTTCTATGCAGATCCGTGTGGCTTATCTTCATGTCTTTGTCTATTCAGTGAGCCTTTTCATGCCATCTTATCTACATTTTGCAACCAATCTCCCTCACCCAGGCCTATTTATCACCATCTAACCTGGTAGCAGTGTGTGGCCCTCACTGTCGTGAAGACTAGTGGTTTTGTCTTTTGTTTACTGCTGTATTGCAGTGTCTAGAAGAGGATCTGTCCGATGGTAGGCACTCAGTAAATATTGGTTGACTGCAGATGTAAACAGGGACACACACAATTATCTAACAGAGGATTTGGAGTCTATTCCAATGTTAACCATGCCTGGACTCACTGATACACCAGTTCTATGAATTTAAACTGGTATGCCACATTAAAATTGCTCTAATTAAAGCAGATTATTATGGGAATCATATATTTCACATTTATTTTTCTTATTTTACTGTTTACATCCATATTAAATTGATAACTCAAACACTTTTTATTTTTGCTTTTCTTAGCTCATTCTTATCCCAGAACTTTTTGGTTTATGCATACAGTGAAAATGGATCTTTGCATGCTGAGTCTTCATATTTTAAGGTAAGACTCACATGTCTTAGACATTTAGTATTATGTGTTTCTTTATTGAAGCAGACATATCATTACCATTGGGATATTTTTGTTCCGTGTTGACAATTTAACACAAATATTTTGTTCCATATAATTATGACCTGTTATATGGTTGATTGTTGTACATAGAAACAGCATGTGATAGACATGAAACTCAGGCTCAGAGAATATTCTTGGGCACCTAAGTGGTACAAAGTAGAGTTGTCAAAAACATTTTTCCCTGAGAATCTGCATTAATAAATCTAGCTGATACACATCTTATTATTTTCAATTCTTTTAACATTTTGAGTCTTCTGTAATGTTTACCAATACATGTTTTATTCATAAAGAATGTATTTATTTGCCTTTCTATACTGTTTTCAGATGCATTGCCATTACCAGGGATACATTGCAGATTTTCCAAATTCAGTTGCGACACTCAGCATCTGTTCTGGACTCAGGTAATAGCATCTTAGAGGGCATTTATACATGGAAAACATAGGGCATACTTTAAGATGAAACTTAGTGGCTAGGAGACACAACTGTAGAGGGTTAAGGGGAATTCGAGTCTGAAAGCGTCCTTTATGATGGCCTCCTTTTATAGTAGTATTAGTAGCTAGACCTTAGTGTCCACTCAAATGAAATCCATCTGGGATCCTGACTGGAGGTATTTTCAGGACACAGTGCAGAAGGGGATGGTTTCAGTAAAGGGAACTTTAGGACATCTCTCTAAGTATTGTCACATTATCTATCAGTTATCTATCAGTTATGGAAAATGGCATTAATTAGTTATTTAAATAGGCACATACCATATGCTGTCAGTTTGGGTGCACCCAGTATCAGACATAAAGCAACTAATTAAGAAGCTCCCTCAGAAGTACAGGGCAGGGATGAGTGATTTTCATCATTGATGGTGGCAGGAGGAAGGTGGTAAGTTTATCAGAAGATGGGTCCAGAGCACAGAAAAAAGACTCCTCCTAACTCCCTTTTGGGTTTTTTTTTTTTTTTTGCCTGATTTCCAGAATTTACTCATTTAAAATCAGAAAATTGGCATTCCCTGAATGTGCTTTTCATAGATATCAACCTCTTCAGGTGTTTACTCTATAAACCTGCTTTCCCTTGTTCTCACCTCTGTAAGAACAAGAACTTTATTCCTGGAATTCTCAGCAAATGTCCTGCTTCCCAGCTAGTACTTGGCCTTAATATATCTTGAATGAATGTGACTACTATACAGAAAATAAAAAATACTTTTCACTATGTTTAGATTTTTCATATGTGAGCAAAACTAAGGCAGATGTGGTGACTCAGTTACTAATGGTAGACTGAAAAAAAATAGGAAAAGAAAGTGCCTTTAAACATGTTCCTTACTATGATTCCTCATTTCTCACAACATTTTAGATTATAGCTTTGATGGGATCATTTGCAGGATTTTTATATCATTGCTTTCTACTATTCAGGGGATTCCTTCAGTTTGAAAATATCAGCTATGGAATCGAGCCGTTGGAATCTTCAGCAAGATTTGAGCACGTAATTTATCAAGTGAAAAATGACAATCCAGACATACCAATGTTATCAGAAAATTACAGCAATATGTGGCAGAAAGACAAGCCCTATAAGGTTCATTTAAGCTCACAGGTGACTGTGATGATTCTGATGTTATGACATACTATGAAATTACTTCTGTAGAATTTTGTTAATAGTGAAAAGGACCTAAGCTGTTGAGCAGGAATATTGAGTTTGATATCTTCTTTCTATACCTTTAAATAAAACATCTATATTCCATCTAAAATATGTGGAAAATTATATAATATGTATTTCAAACTTATTTTATGATGTATTATGTAACATTTTTTATTTTTTATTTTTATTCAAATACAAATGCATATTATTAAATACAATTTAGAAATACAGGAGGAGTAGAGTCATCATTAATTACCACTATTCTGGTGAAATTCCTTTCAATATTTTGATATTTTGCTTTATATACTACTGGAACATATGTTTCCAAAATAGATAATCATTTGTATAGTATTAAACTCTCTTGATTTCCCTGTGCACTGGCGAAAGAATTCTTGGTTGACAGTGGTTTTTCTTTCATCACTTTGAACATTTTAATTCATTCTCTTCTGGCCTCCATGGTCTCTGAGGAAGAATCAGCTATTTTAATCTTATTGAGGATTCCTTATACATGATGAGTCTATTCTCTGTTGCTTCTTTCAATATTATCTGTTTGTCTTTTCCTTATGTCAGTTTTCTTATGATGCGTCTTTGAGAGGCTCTCTTGAGTTTATTCAACTTGGAGTTCATTGAACTTCTTGGATGTGTAAATTAGTGTTAGTCATCAAATTTGGGAAAATTTTGGCCATTAGTTCTTTGAATATTCTTTTTGTCCTTTTATCTGTCTCCTCACTTTCTGATATTCCCATTATGTGTATATTGGTGTGCTTGATAGTGCCCCACAGGTCTATTAGATTCTGTTCAATTTTTTCTATTCTTTTTTCTTTATCTTCCTCAAATTGTGTATTCTTAATTGACCTATCATCAAGTTCCCTGATTCTTTCTTCTGTCTGCTCAAATCTGCTGTTTAGCCTGTCTAATGGATAGTTCATTTCATTTATTGTATTTTTCAATACTAGAATTTCTAAGCCTTTATTGATGATCTCCATTTAGTAAGACATCATTATTATAATCCATTTAGTTGTTTATACATGGTTTCTTTTAGCTCTCTGAAATTATTTAAAATTTCTAATTTGAAGTATTTTTCTAGTAAATCAAACATGTAATCTTCCTCAAAGACAGTTTCTATTGATGGCCTTTTTCCTGTGCATGGGCCATACAAAACTCAACATCCATTTATTATATAAATTCTGAGTTACCTTAGAATAAAGAGGAACTTGTTCTAGATCATAAAAACTACCCATAAAAACCTACAGCAAACATGATATTAATGAAGAAAGAGTGAGTACTTTTCTCTTAAGATTTGGTGCAAGGCAAGGCTGCCCACTCTTTCCACTCTTAAACGTAGTGTTGGATTCCTAGGCAGGATAATAAGGCAAGAAAAGGAAATAAAAGGCATACAGATCAGAAAGGAAGACCTAAGAATCTTCCTATTTTCAGATGACATGATTGTCTCCTTAGAAATATCAGAGAATGTACAAAATAACTTCTATAACTAGTAAGTAAAATCAGCAAAGTCACAGAATACTTGATGAATGTTCAAAACTCAATGGTATTTCTATATATTAGCAATGACTGTGTGGAAACTGTAGGGAAAAACACAATTTGAAATCATTCAAAAATGAAATAGACAGTGTCTTAGTCAGTTTGGACTGCTATAACAGATTACCATAGACTGGCTGGCTTAAACAACAGATAATTATTTCTGACCGTTCTTGAGGCTAGAAGAGTGAGAGCAGGGTGCCAGCATCTTCAGATTCTTGATGAATGCCCTCTTCCTGGTATATAGATGGCTGTCTTCTTGGTGTGTCCTCACATGGTGGGAGAGAGAGCTAGCTAGCTCTCTGGTCTCTTCTTGTAAGTGCACTAATCCCATTTATGAGAGCTCTAGCCTCATAACCTAATTACCTTTGAAAGGTCTCACTTCCAAATACAGTTGCATTGGGATTAGGGTTTCAAACTATGGTTTTTGGAGGGACACAAACATTGCAAATAGATATCTAGCAAAACATATTCAGGCTTTGTATACTGAAAACTACAAAATGCTGATCTAATAAATCAAAGTAGACATATCATGGAGAGACAAATGGAGAGACATACCATGTTCATGGACTGGAAGACTCAGCATAATAGATATTCTATTTTCCTCCAAATTAATATATAGTTTTAACATATTGACTATCAAAATTCCAGCAGGAAGTTTTATAGCTATATATAAGCCTGTATGTAAGCTTGGGCTGAAAAGTAAATGGAAAGTTGAAGAAGCTAAAATAACTGAAATAATTTTGAAAAACTAATAAAGTAGTAAGAACTACTCTGCTTGATTTTAAGATGTATTATTTAGCTACAATAATCTAGACTGTGTGGTATGAGTGGAAGAATAGACACATTCAGCAATGGATCAGATTAGAGGACTCAGAAATAGACCTACTACACAAAATGAAAGCAATTCAATCAAGGAAGGATAGTCTTTTCAAGAAATGGTACTGGAACAGTTGAATATCTGTTGGCAATACAATGCACTTTGACCTAAAGCTCACATCATATACAAAAATTAACTCAAAATTGATCACAGATTTAAACACAAACTGTTAAACTATAAAATTTTTAGAAGAAACATAGGAAAAATGCTGTAGGATCTAAGACTTGGCAAAAAATTCATAGACATAACACAAAACACATGATCCATAAAAGAAAAGAAAAGATGAATTGGCCTTCCTTAAAACTGAAGCATTTTTATCTGAAAAAAAAACCTGTGAGCATAATGAAAAGACAAGCTACAGAATGGGAGAATATGACAAGGGACAGATATCTAGACTACATAAATAACTATCAAATTCAACATTAGCAAGTAAGGAATATAATTAGAAACTAGGCAAAAGCTGGAAGACACATTGCACTGAAGAGGATATACAGATGACAACAAAGTAAAATGAAACACATAAAAAGATGTACATCAGGGCCAGCCCAGTGGCACAGTGGTTAATTTCACATGTTCCACTTCGGTGGCCTGGGGTTCACTGGTTTGGATCCCGGGTGTGGACCTACTCACCACCTGTCAAGCCATGCTGTGGCAGGCATCCCACATATAAAGTAGAGGAAGATGGGCATGAATGTTAGCTCAGGGCCAGTCTTCCTCAGCAAAGAAAGAGGAGAATTTGCCACAGATGTTAGCTCAGGGCTAATGTTCCTCAGAAAAAAAAAGGTGTACATCATCACTACCTTTTAGGAAACTGTGAATTAAGATCATTATCAGATATTATTATACAACTATTAGAGCAGCTAAAATAAAAAGTTGTGACAATATCAAATGCTGCCAATGATTTAGGAAAACTAGATCTCTCATGCATTGCTGAAAGTAGTGAAAATGGTACAGCCATGGAAGAAAGTATTCTTAAAAAATACTAACCCTACACTTATCACAAAACTCAGGAATCAAACATCTGGGAATATATCCAGAAGAAATTAAAATTTATGTCCATACAAAAACCTATCCACAAATGTTGGTCAAGCTTCATTTGTAGTAGTCAGAATTTACTCTGAGTTTAACAGATATGTCATAACCTTCAGAGAGGGTATTTTTTCCAATTAAAAATATTTTGAAGGAGTGATGTCAGCATCATGGTGGAGTGAGCTTGCCGAGGACTTTCTCCCCTCCAATGTACAACAGAAAGGAGCAACAATATTCCAACAGAAAATATCCTAATAGCACAGGAATCCTCAGAGACCCACAGCAGTCAAACGACAGAGGGTGGAGAGGTGGAGCCCCCCTTGGAGGAGCTGGAAAGAGGTAAGAGAGACCTTCGCTCCCTCCCCTAAAGACTGGGATTGCTGCCACGGGCGGCTCCATGAGGGAAGGAGTGGGGGAAGGTTTGCATGTCAGCAGGATCACCCAGGACTCCCTAGCACCCTTGGAGCATAGAGGGAAGCCCTCTAACAGGGTGAAAGCTTTCATGTGGGGTGACCTTATCAAGCCAAGACCACAGGAGACCAGATAGAGCTGATTGGGAAACCTGGGTCTGCTTGCAAGAGAAAGTGCCCCCCCCACAACCCATGACTGAAGGCAGATGGCTCAGAATACATGGCTCTTGACTTACATCTAGTGGTGACAGGCTGTAATTGCAACCAAATAATATCACTGCAGAAAAACCATTCTAGCATCAAACAATTCATAAAAGCTCCAGACCAGAAGGAAAACAATAAAAACACAGAATTATGTCCTGAGGACTTACTTGAAATAAGCAAACTGAATGGCAATGAATTCAGAATAGCTATCCTCAAAAAATTCAATGAGGTAAAGGAAAATATAGAGAAACAAGTCAAGAGTTCTGGAATTACTTCACAGAAGAGTTTGAAACTATAAGGAAGAATCAGTTAGAAATACTAGAGATGAAAATACAATGGATCAGGTAAAACAAAATATGGATTCCCTGAATGCCCATGTGGACACCATAGAGGAGCAAATCAGCATAATCGAAGATAGACAGGTTGAATGGCTCCATAAAGAGGAAGAGAGACAACTAAGACTAAAAATGAATGAAGAAAATCTCCAAGAAACAGCTGATTCAATGAGGAAACGCAACATAAGAATTATAGGTATCCTCGAAGGCAAAGAAAAGGAGAATGGAGCAGAAAGCATGCTCAAAGAAATAATAGCAGAGAACTTCCCAAATCTAGGGAATGAGAGAGAAATATGTGTGCAAGAAGCCTTCAGATCTCCTAGATATGTCATGGAAAAAGACCTACTGCAAGGCATATAGTAGCAAAAATGGCAAAAATGAATGGCAAGGAAAGAATACTCAGGGCAGCAAGGCAGAAGAAAATAACCTACAAAGGAACCCCTATCAGACTTTCAGCGATTTCTCTGCAGAAACCTTACAAGCTAGGAGAGATTGGAACGACACTTTCAAAAATCTTCAGCCAAGAATACTCTATCCAGAAAAAATATCCTTCAGATA